GGTAAGTACCGCTGGCCTCCGCCAGCCATCTCTCCCAACTCTACGATCTACCACCTAATAGCGCCCAGCGCTGAAGACTACAGCTATGGCTATGGGCGCCCAGCGCCGAAGACTACTACTAGCACTAATACTACTGCCTAGCGCTGAAGACTACTGCAGCGCTCCTCCTGAGTGCTGCGGCCGAATCCTGAAGACTACTCGTGCCTACTGACAACTACCTACCCGTGAAGTGCATGGGAACTTCCTATGTACTACCGGGTGTGCCTCTTGACTTGGGCCAGCAGTCTAGGAGGCTGCTCTTGCCAATGCCGAAGGAAGGCAGGGGCTGCAGCTGCAGCTCCTGCTCGAGCTGGCGTGGGGAACAGGCCCGAAATAGCCTGTTCCGAAACCCAGTTTTCGTGCCTGAGTCTTAGGGCAGGTCGAAACAAATGAGGGCCTGAAAATGGCCCTCTGTTTCAGGCTGGAAAGCCTCTGGGCCTGAAAGGCCCAGAATAGGCTGAAAACGGAGTAGGGCCTGCAGACCCTCGTTTTTCAGCTTTCAGGCTGAAACGACCGGGACTGTAAGCCCTATGTTTTAGGCTTTTAGGCTGAAAATGTGGGACGGGCCCTGCAGGGCCCGTGTGGCTACGCAGTATGCCACCCCCTCCCCTCCTTGAAAAACCGAGCTTACCTGCGAGGGCAAAGCTGTCTGTCTAAGGGAGGGACCACAGTCCGGGTGGGAGGGGCAGGTCGTGGAGGTCCCTTGGCTAACCTTTGACGCTCGTAGTGAGCGTAGATCAGCGGTGCGGATGCTTTCAAATCTGCTCCTGAAATCCACCGAGTGTCATCGGGATCGCATGCTCTGAATGTAACTTTGTACTGTCGCGGCTTGCTGCCGTACTTGCGATCCGAGATGACGCGGTCAACCTCCTGATGACCATCCATAGATGGAGGGTCCTGCGATCGTCGGCCCGGAAAGTCGTCGCTCTTAGCTGGCGTGTATGTTGCCAGCTTCGAGGCGTGAAAGACTGGATGGACCGAGAGATTCTCGGGAATGTTGATCACAAATGAAGGGTCATCGGGCTCATCGTCCGTGGTTGATGTCACAGACCATGGTCCAAACCACTTAGGAAGCAGTTTGCGTGAAACATCATGTTCCAGTGCAAACTCTTCCGCGGAGACCCAAACCAGATCACCAGCGCGGATGGGACATGGCATGTGATGCCTGTTGGCTTGCTGCTGCATGCGGACTTGAGCCTTTTGCATGTTCACGCGGGCTTGAGTCAGCAATTCCCTGTACTTCCGGACGGAAGCGGGAGAGCAAGCGGCGTCAATGTCTGCTGGTCGAGGGAGGAGAAGGTCGGCGAAGATMCGGCCTTTCCGTCCACCGTGGTGCAACTCGAATGGAGTCACGCCGATCGCCGGGTGCACCGAAGTGTTGTAGGCGAACTCGATGTCAGGGAGGCGGTCAACCCAATCTTGCTGGTCCGGACGGATGAGCGTACGAAGCATCATTTGAGCGGTTTGATGTGCCCGCTCTGTTTGCCCGTCCGTCTGTGGAGGCCGAGCCGAACTTGGTTTCATCTTCGTGCCGAACTCTTGCATGAGAGCAGTCCAAAATGCCGACATGAAGCGAGTGTCGCGGTCGCTGACTATGTCTTTTGGTACACCGTGGCCACAAATCCAACCAGTGTGCAAGAGGCGTGCCAGCTCGGGAGCCGTGGAGTAGTACTTGCAAGGAAGAAAACGCGCGTACTTACTCAATCGGTCCACAACAATGAGGATGCCGTCGTGCCCGAGCCGGTCGCGAGGGAATGGACCGGTGACGTCCATGGCAATGGAGAGACTTGGTTCCCGTGGGATAGGCATCGGGCGTAGCTCGCCATAGGGATTGCAGTTGCGGGGTTTGCTGCGTCGGCAAACTTCGCAAGAGTCGCAATACCGAGTGACATTGGTAATGAGGTCGGGCCATCGGAATCGTTGTCGAAGCCGTGCAATAGTGCGGTTGACTCCGAAATGGCCGGCGAGTCGTGAGTCATGGAACTCTCCGAGAAGGCGAGTCCGAAGACGACGGTTTCGTGGGACACACAATAAGTCCTTGCCTCTCGAGTGGAGGAGCAAGTACCCGTCGGCAATGCGATAATGGCTGGCCGGCGGGTGATCCGAAGATAGCTGTGCATATAGCGTGGCAAACTCCGGATCAGACTCATATGCCCGGATGAAGTGTCGTTGAAGCTCCTCGTCGAATGCGAAGGCATGATGTGTCATAGTGCAAAGATCAGGTCTTCACGAGAGTGCATCTGCTGCGCGATTTGAGAGGCCGGGAAGATGTTTCGGTGTGGAGTCAAACTGGTCGATGAAGTACATCCATCGTCCGATCGTGCTGCTCACCGTATCCTGCGTCTTGTAGTAGGTCAATGGATTGTTGTCCGTAACCCATGTGAACCTAAGACGCCCAAGGAGGAAGTGCCGCCATCGCTTGAGAGCCATGACGAATGCGAGCAGCTCCTTCTTCCTTTCATCATGAAGCGAGTTGATGGGAGGCACTTTGTGGTTGAAATACTCCACAGGGTGCCAGTCGTCGCCATCGTGTTGTTCCAAGACTGCCCCAATGCCATAGCCGGAAGCGTCCGTAGTCACTCSCGTCGTCAGGGTGGGGTCATAGATGCTAAGGATGGGTGCCATGAGCATAGTCGTCTTAAGTGCTTGGAATGACCGGCGTGCGTCGTCATCGAATACGAATGGCACCTTTCGCGCGACTGTAACCTCGTCATAGGTGCAGCAATCCTGGAATATCCGGTGATGAATCGCTGATAGTAGCCCGCGAATCCCATGAATGAACGAACGTCCGTCGTTTTGGTGGGCTCGGGCCATACTCGTAGGGCCTCGATCTTGTCCGCAAGCGGACGGATGCCTTGCAGCGTCACATAATGTCCCAAGTACTCCAGCTCCTGCCACGCAAATTCGCACTTGTCGCGGTTGGCTTTGTACTTGGCTTGTCGTAGCCGCTCCAAAACGGTGCGCAGGTGTTCCACATGCTCCTCCAAACTCCGGCTGTACACTAGGATGTCGTCGAGGTAGATAAGTACGTAACGATCCAGCATGTGTCGGAACTTCGTTGTCATAGCCGCTTGGAAAGTGG